CATATGCACATCCTTACTTCCAAGGTATATTTTGTTTCCCCCTTCTTCCTTTTTCAAATCAAAGTTTGTAGAAGATTTGTGTTTTTATTCTTTTTCTGATTTTATTTTTTGTGGAAACATTTTCATTCTCTATAGTGAACATTTGAAAGGTATAATTTAGAATTTGTAAAATTGTATGTTATTTTTTCTGATAAATTGATAGTATTCTTACATATTTTTTAAAAAATTAATGTTTGATTTTTCACATAGATTTAAAACTTTATTAATTAATATATCATATCATTATTTTTATTTATAATTTTCTAAACTATTATGTTTCAATTGGTGGTCTTTTTGTGGTGTTTGATTACTATTTTGGTTTGGAATAGAAGAGATAAATATAGTATATTATATCATTATTTTTGATATATCATATCATTATTTTTTTTTATAAATCTATCTCTAGAATAGTTTTGATATATCATATCATTATTTTTATTCATAATTTTCTATACTATTTTATTTCAATGGTTAGGTTTTTAAGTGGCGTTTGATTATTGTTTATTTCAATTGTTAGTTTTTTAGATAGTGTTTGATTACTATCTTGTCTTAAAATAGAAGAAACAAGAATAGTAGAAAAAGAAATATGTTTGGTTGAAAAAACAAAAATATAAAATAAATATATTTATATGGTAGTTTTGAAATGAATTTCTATAGTTTCAAAACAAAATATGAAATACATGAGAGATATTTCTTTATAATCTCTATTGTTTTGGGTGTTAGTTTTAATGGGTTCGAATTGTTTATATAAAATCACATGTTTATAAAACAAATTGAATTCATTGTTAACAAATATTATAGTTAGTCTTATTATGACTATCACTTGAGAAGGATAGTCCCTCCCCTTCCAAGGTGGCTATAATTTTAGTGATTCAGATGATGAAGAAAAACATATTTATGAAGTAATAAATGTCCCTCATTTATGATGAGATAACTAGCTCTAGTTTGCCATGGCCACTTTATTGAATTTGATCATAAGATTTAATGAGTTTTATTAATTTTAAATTAGTTTTTATCTATATATATTTTTATTAATTTGCCCAATGAAATATAAGTTTTTTTTTTCATGTGCATTGTATATTGTTCTTATTTCAAGACAACATTATGTTTGTTACTATGCTCAAAAATATTTTTAAAATGCAAAAACAAGCCGTTGTTAATGAAATCTCATTGTTATTTAATATAAAAAAAAAGTCAAAGATATATTTAGCGTTACTATGCTATGTTATTCTTAAGTTGCGAGATTAAAGCAACATTAATAAAAGCAATGTTTAATAATGTTGGATTTGGTTTGAGATACAAGATGCTAAAGACAAGTACGAGACAAAAAAAAATTTACATGTCTGGTTTGCAAAGATAGAAACAAAATTGTTATGCTTTCTTTCTTCTTTTTTTTTTTAAAAAAGGCGTTTTTGCTCAAGAAAATAGTTAACCTTGAAGCTGTTTTATTTTTTATTAAAAGCAGTTGAGACTTTACTTTGTTTTTCTTTTTTAATAATTTAAAGTATCATATCTTTAATTTGAAATTAAAACAAATATTAATTGAACATTGCTTTTAAACCTAAAGTTGGTAAAAGTAACTTTGTTTTAAAGTACAACAATATTATAAAGACACTATGACCTAAATAGTCTAGGGACTGATACCTTTAGCATAATCAAATTCACCTCAAATACGATGATATGCATCAAATATTAGTTGGATTAGTTAGATAACATATGTTGATTCAATTGGATTTGCTAAAAAATTATTACGCAATTACAGAATATTTTGACCTAAAAGTGGCATGCCCAACCCTTGGTCAAGATAATCGCATTAGTTGGTTCAATGGACTTTTTTATTTATATATTATTATTGTTTTATTTTTTTAATAAAAATAATGAACTTTCTTTGTTTTAGTTTGCTTGTAAAAATTATTCTTGTCACGGTTTGTAATTGTAACGTTTTTTTTTTTAATCTAATGTGTGGTCTTAAAAAAACATGTTAAAAAGCTAGAATTAAAAAAAATAAATTGTAATACTGGGAGAGAATTTGTTAGTACACCAACCCTGATTAAATACAATTACAAAAAAATCATTATAAACGACGGTCTATTAAAATTACTTCTATTTTATTTTTTGTTCAATAATAACAATAATAATAATAATAAACTCTTCAATGAAAAACTAGGAGAAAATAACAACAATATTACCTTAATTTTAAAAGACTTTAATGTTTAAAAGCCTCTAGGTTTTTTTATTGATTTTAAAAATAAAAAATAACCCAATTTTATTTTTATTTTTATGTCAAGCACATGTTAGGAAATCTAAAAAAAATCTTTCATTTACTCATAAAAATGTCACTCGACTTATTATAATATTTTAAAAGGCATGAGAAAAACAATACATGAATTGTGAACATGAACTTATTGCATTGTAAACCACATAGTAGATATACAGTGTTTGTATTGTGGATGATACTATTGCACCAGAAGACATTGTCTTTTGTATTTTTTAGTTAAAAAATACTACTAGGTTTGTCACTGTAGCACTAGGAAACGTCGTCTTGTGTTTTTTAGTCAAAAAATACTATTGAATTTGGCGGCGCTACTGAGTCCGGCTCTGCTACCAAACCTAAAGCTATTGGATCTGGCTGGTTAGTAGGACCCAATAACATTGGGTATTGCTTCATCTTTTATAAAGTTAGCGAGCTACAATGTTATGAGGGCTTTCATTTGCGTGTCAAGAGCAATTCCTATTATGGCACTAAGAATCGATGCCCTTAGTCTAAGCTAAAAAAAGAGCGGCCCCCTCCTGTCTCTTCAAGACATTTCTGCTATGTTTGGTGCCTCCTTCTTCACTCCAGGAGTTCTAGTAGTTAAACAGTTTACTCGATAAAATGCCTAATGCTCCAACTTCTGATTATACCTATTAAGAATCTTTGGATGGTCATCACTACTTTACTTCTATCCTAGCACGTAGGGATGTGATGCAGTTTCTTACTCTTTGGTTTAGAAAGTTAGAGAGTCAGGTGAGATTTTGCTAGAGAAAGGATTGTAAGACGAGTTTTAAAGGGTGCTGATGATAGAAGAGAAGGAAAGAAGTGTCAGGTCCTTCTGCTAGTAGGACCCAATAGTTATCTATGATTTATTTTTTAATAGTTATATTTATTTTTATATTTTCAAATATGATAAAAAAATCGTATAATGATCAAACCAAAAGCAAAACCATAGGAAAAAAATATTACTAAAACCTAAAATTATAATGATAAATATGATGAAAAGTTCAAATTACAGGGTCAAATATAACTAAAAATTATAAGTATTAGATATGTGGCTCGTGCTACATTGCGGGCTGATCCAATTTTTTTTTTCTGTCGTAAAAATAGGAAGCCAAGACAACACAAGTGTCCTCAAACAAAAAAAAACCAAGATCTAGATTATTGACTTGGGCTAAGTCAATAAGTCTATATAATTTTGATAACATGAAAACAAAGTGGCAAATAAAAAATTGTTAAAAAGTAACCCGAATTCATTCAGGTTAACATGTAAAATTTACAACCTAGTTGTGGCATCAGGGTAACCCTATCATAAGAAAATTGAAAGCTTAATTAGTAAACAATTTAATGTTAAGTAAGGTAACCATAGAAGCAATATTAATCTGTTTGGGTTGGTATTCATTAAGTTCATATTAAATTGTCATTCCTAACATCATGAGATGAAATTATTTATTCATACTGATATCTATTATTTAACAAAATTTAATATTAAATAAAAAATAAACAAATCAATAAATAAATTTGAAATGTGTGTATGTGTAATGTGTGTATCAAATTATTAAACTATAAAATAATAAATATTATATATATATATGTGTGTGTGTGTGTGTTTTATGTCAATATCAAGGTGTATATGTAACACATTGTTTTTTTAAAAATCAAAATGTTCTACAAATATATTTATATAATATAAATATATATTTTAGCTTAGGTTTGGGTGAGTTTCAGGTATATTTTGATAATATTTATACCCTATCCATTACTCATTGAGTAAAGTAACCACAAAAAACACAACCTGTTCAAGATGAGTCACGACGACATTTATTGGGCTTGGATTAAATTGCAATTTCTAATGTTGATGGAAGAAGTTGAAAAAAAAAAAGAATTAGGAAAAGGCTAAAATGTTGATGGAAGAAGTTGAAAAAAAAAAGAATTAAGAAAAGGCTAAAAATGAAATAAATAAAAATTAAAAGAATAAGAATTAAATTTGAAATAAAAATTAAATAAAATTAAATAATGGGGGATGAAATTGAAAAAAAAAGTAATTACCAAAAATAAAAAACAAAATAGATAAAAATTAAAAGAATAAAAATCAAATTTAAAATAAAAACTAAATGAAATCAAATAATATAAATAAAATTAAAAACAAGAATTAACCTATAAAAAATAAAAAAATAGATAAAAAAAAATAAGAACTACATTCTATGAATAAAACAAATGAAATGAAGCTTGTGTATTTTATCTCAGAGAAGAGAGAGAAAGAAAAAAAATTCACCGGAAGCACACCAAATATCCTCCATTATCAAGCGCGCCATCACTAGAAAGCTCTCGAGACACCACTTCAAACACTGCTGCAGAAGGTGGCGTTTGATGATGAGAAGAGCCTGGATGTATTGTTCAAATGGCACGAGCTCTTCTTACTTATTGGCACATGCGGTGCACGTCCTAAGAACCTTTTATTTTTTAATAATTTTTATAGATATCAAAAGATGTAATCACCGGATAATTATAGAAAAACCAAAAGAAAATAACAAAAACATCCTGGACCCAAATAAAAGAAAAACAAAATTGCAAGAGTATTTAATTAATTATATTGTTCCAAATAATTAAAAAACAAAAAACGCCCCTTGCCTCCCAGTTAATTTTTTGTTTTTGTTTTTAAAGGGTAGATTAATAATTTAAATGTTCAATAAAAATATGAAGAGACCAACTTATCCTCGAACAAATTGGTAAATCCACAACTGACTAAGAGGATGAATCAAATTCCTGCAACCAGCAGTTATGTTTCTCATCGTTTGCCGGTTCTTAATAAAATTCTTCAACTTGTGTCCATCCAGGTATCAAAATATAGCAATTTTGATAAAAAAAAGAAAAAAGATGATAATTTTTCTGTAAATATTAACCTTCATCTTGGATTTTGTTAGAGGGCCGGCTCACAAGATAAGGAATTGGAGTTGCTTTTTGCTGGGTTGCATCTGTGATTGATTTACCAGTGCTATGGTGAGTTGGCTTGAAATTTGTTTGTTGGAATTTGGTTTTGTTTGTATTTGCCTCTTCTTTTTCTTGAGTTGATGAAATGGGTATGATGGAAGGTTTAGCTATCTTGAAGATTTGAAATGTGATGTATATTCGGTTTTGGTTATCGTTGAACTCAACTAGCTTCTTTGCAACAATGTTTTGGAGTGAGCTAAAAAATTTCCTGTCTTCCCCTCTGTGGTCTGATTTTGAGTCATTTTTCTTTTTGCATTATCTCATGCATTTCTGTGTAACTTTTTTCATCATTGTGGAGGTTGCCGTTAGCAGCCCGGGTCCTCGCCACAGTGATTGAAGTTTTTCTGGTTCTATTTTCATGTGGGATATTGGTTGGTGTTATATAAGTGTCATCTTTGCATATCATATTTTAGTTATGAAGAAAAATTCTTTTATGATATGTAGCCCTTTTGTACTGCTTATTATCTCATAGCCCAGGGCTTAAGAGACGAAGATCCCCTATTTCTGTGTTTCAAGACTACATTACCATATCACTTGTTAGGGCTTAGGAGAGCCTGTAAACTTCAGTAAGCATTCTAGATTACAAGAGGCATTGCCCTTTTCTGCTCAATTTTTATCTTCAATTTTTGTTCTTTTCTTCTTGCATGTCATAAATGTGTACGAAGTGAATGTTTCTAATTGCCAATGGATGCTTTGCTTTCTCATTTGTGATCATTTCATAAGTAATTCATTTGTGTACCTTTCCTTAATGATTACAGGCTATCACCAGGGCCTAAACAAACACAAAAGACCAAGGGCCAAATATTTCATGTATGCTGAGCTCCTCCTCTCTTCCATTTGTTGATCAGATTTCTACTCTACATATGTTCCCACGCTCATAAACTGTGTTGTTTGGAAGTTTTTGTTATTCTCCTTAATTTTGCATACTTGTCAAAATAAAGAGAAAAAACCATTGGTTTACCAAGATTATTGCGTGTAAAGTTGTTAGAAATGGTGCACCTGCATAGCATCCTCTTTCCCTCGCCAGATTCTTACCCCGTGACACTCTAATTTTGTTTTACTGTTCTCCATATATCTTTCAAATTGTGTATGCTTATTATTCTTCCTGCGAGTTCATGCTGCTTCTTGTTAGACTTGATTCATGTAAATTCAATCAACATTTCAATTTTATTTTCTTTAACCTGATCATATAGTTATCGCACTTCCTTCCCATCATTTTTTTTTTGAATTTTCCTTGCAATAGCCCGTCTTCAGGAACTGGAAGCAAAAAGAATGTTAATCCTCAACCCTTACTGTCGTTGATAAATTTGATCTTGCAGGATAAAGTTAAATCCTCAGATTGCATCCCCGAGGCATGATGGATGTGGTTTGCCCTTGTATGCTGTGCAGAAACAAATGCGTCTCTGGTAGGCTGAAATTTAAATCTTGTGAACATCTTCTGAAGCTGTTTTCTTTTCATCAGAGTGCTCTGTATCTTTTGTTTGACTAGGGCGTCTTTTTCCCCCGTCGTGTTAACTGACTGCCTGTGGGATTCCGATAACTAGAGATGCATGAGTCCGTCAGTCATGAACTTAGCTTCTGTTTTCTCTCTTTCTTTCCTTCTTTCATTTTCTTTTCTCTGGTGGGGGAATCGGTTCTGTCAAATTGTCAATTCACGTGTTACGAAGTTGCAGTTTTGTCTACGATAGATGGATTACTGATTGGTGGCGATAACTGATATATTTTAGCCCTAGTGATCTATCAGCATATATGTTTGATTAACGCACTCCTCAGGTATGGTTAATGCTAGCTGTTTTATGAGCTGGTTATATAATATATAGGTTATTTTGATCGACACCCCTGAATCAATTTCTTTATGATCTCAACGCTCAAATCATCAAGTGTTTTGACTGATACTCCTGCTATATCTCATCAGATTTATACAACTCACATGCTTTTCACAGAAATATAGCAAAAGGTTATCAGAAGGTCATGAAACTATTTTGATGATAATTTAATCATAAACATCAGGGGGATGTTATTTTTTAAATGTTTTTTTAACCAATATTTGATGATATTTTGATGTTTTCCAGGGAAGTATGTGCAATTGACATGTTATTCAATCGAAAAACAGATGGAATATAATTGAAGGGGTGTCTGTCTAGCTCAGTGATTGAATAAAGAAAAAGAGAAAATTTCAGTAGGAGGTCGCAATCAAGATGAACCAGAGCACAAATGCCTTCCATTGAGGCTAGAATCTTTATATTCTTAAATCTGGTTTGTTGTTATATTTTAAAAATATTTTTTAAAAATCTATTTTTTTATTTTAAATTAATATATTTTTTAATGTTTTTATATTATTTTAATATATTAATATTAAAAATAATTTTTAAAAAATAAAAAAAATTATTTTAATACACTTTAAAAAATAATTTCAAAACCACACTTGCAAGGCATGTCTGCGTGTAAAGGAGGAGGTACTGAGATGGCGTACGGCGGAAGGAAAGAACAACTCAACTTGCCCACCGGTTCACGTTTCTTTCTTTTTCTTCTCTTTTTTTTTCTTAAATCTTGAACATACCTCCAAAATAATCGTAAAAAGGGCAATTCTGTTTGGATGACTTTTGAATTGGAATTTTTTTTTTTTATCAATATGTATGACTTGTGAATTGGATTTGTTTTTGAAAAGTTGACATACTAAAAGTTTTTAAAAAATAACATATATTAAAAAATATTTGAAAATAATAAAGTTTAAATACAATTGGTATTTTGAATCTAAGTTTTGTAATCGCCATTAGGAATAATGTTTTTTAGATCTCCAGAATTATTAAAAAAAGCTCAACGAAGTGATTTTAATTGTATCATAAAAAATTATTAACAAAATTAAAATTATAATTAGTTAGTAATTCTTTTTAGAGTTAATTTGAGGTTAAATATTTTAGGCTTTAGTTCATTGCAAATAAAATCACTAATTAAATCACTAATTAATTATGATATTGTTTAATGACCTTTTATGATATGGTTTGAACCGTTAATAATTTTTTAATGGAGACACATTCTTTCTTTCTCTTTTTATATAACATCTGCTTATCTCTCTCTCTCTTTCATTCTTTCTTTCTCTTTTTATATAACATTTGCTTATCTCTCTCTCTTTTTTTTAATTAGATTTTGTATATATTAATTAATTTTATTTTTGATTTATAAGTAAACAATTGTTTATTCTGGTTACAAAACTAATATTTAGAATTATAATTGTATTTAAACTGTATTATTTTCTAAATATTTTTATATCCTGCTATTATTACAATTTTTTTATTAAAGCGTTAGGATGGTAAAATACCCTTAAGAAATGTGAAAGGGGGCAAGTTTCTCGTAACATAAGAAATTCGAGGACAAAAACTGCAACCACTTTTTTAAATGAAATTACTCGGAAGAAACTTGCACTTTCCACGCTCCAATGGGAACTACAAAAGCAGGTCTCTATACAAGAAACATGCTCATTTCTAATCAACTTCCCTTCAACTGCAAGCAACTTCCCAAGGCAAATCGCGTTGACTCCCTTCAGGTTAAGAATCCTACAATTGGCTTTGCTGTTTGTGTTCTTGCATTAGCTCTAAACTAAACTAAACTGATCAACATCTTTTCAGACAACAGCCACATCAACCAAGCCGACCGGCAAGGTAAGCTGTGCTGTCTTCCGTTTATTCAATGCTCCTATTTATTTGTTTTATTTTTCTACTGTAACTTGAAGTTAATGTAAATTCACAAATGTTTTTGTTTCTCTTTCCTGTGCATGCTTATTTCTAGAGTTTCTGTTTGGTCTGTAATTGCTACTTGGTATCATCGCCTACTTCTTTATAACTTAGTTGTTTCCTTTTTCTAATCTTTTTCGATATTCTTATTTGAATTAAATAATAAATTACAACTTCCATTCTTCTAAAATTAATTTAGTTTGTGCATGGAAGGATTCAACAATAGAAATGGTTAGACCGAACGATCCCTTTTGGGATTATGTGGAGAAGATGAACGGTGGTCTTTTGAGGTGCATGTTTTGCGAGTATATATTTGCTGTTGCTACTTCAATATCGAGGATCAAATCACATTTCGCAGGAGTCAAACGGCGCGGAGTTAATATCTGTGCAAAAGTGCCTAAAGAGATTCAAGAAGCATCCTATTTATCTATTCATGGCTCAAGAAAGAAACTTAAAACCATGCCAAGTGAGGTAGCTAATAAGTTTTCTACTTCTTCACTAGAAGAAAAGAATGAAGTTGAAATTCTTGCAAGGGATATAGAAGAGGTGCTGATGGAAGCTGAAAGCTCGGATGAAGTAGAGAGCAAGAGTCCTGCAGAATTGATTCAGTTTGTTGAAACTGGTAGCTCTGTTGAAGGGAATGTTGCTGATGTACGCGAGACTGGAGGAACTGCATTGCCAAGAATGGATCTAGTTGACCAATCAATTGAAAAAGACTGGCAAGAGATATATGATTCGTCAAAGGAGAACGATGGTTTGAATTGTAGCAGAGAGGACATGGCTGGAAATCTGATTCAGGAAGGGTTACAAGAGACTATAGGAGATGCATGGCTGACAACGGAGCCAGTGGGTCAAGCGTTTCAAAGAAATATGGATGAGATTTGGTCCTTGTTAAAGAAGGAGCAGGTTTTAACTATTGGTGTTTGTGGAAGGGGAGGGATGGGCAAAACAACACTGGTGATGCATATCCGTAATCTGCTTCTGAAAATACCAAACTCTTTTCATCATATTTATTGGATTACTGTAACACAAGATTTTAACATTTATAAGTTGCAGAATCTGATTGCCAAAAACATTGATTTAGATCTTTCAAATGAAAAAGATGAGAAGAGTAGAGCTGCAAAACTTTCAAAAGCATTTTTAACAAAACAAAAATCTGTGCTGATATTAGATAATTTGAGGAATCATTTTGATGTGGAGAAGATGGGAATTCCTATCAGAGGGAATAAATGCAAGTTGATTTTTACAACTCGATCATTAGATGTTTGTAAACGGATGGGCTGCCCGGAGAATGTGGTCAATGTGGAGCCTCTTGCTGAGGAAGAGGCTTGGAGCTTGTTTGCTAAGGAACTTGGGAATTATGATGCCAAAGTGAGCCAATTGGCAAAATTTCTTGCGAGTGAATGTGCTGGTTTTCCACTCGGGATTAAAACAACGGCGAGAAGCATGAGGGGAGTGGGAGATGTTCATGCGTGGAGGAAAACATTACAGGAATTGGAAGAATTGAAACGTACAAAAGGTAGCATGGAACTCGATGTGTTTCCGATATTGGTATTTAGTTATTTACATTTGAATGACTTATCATTGCAACGATGTCTATTATATTGCGCGTTGTTTCCAGAGGATTGCAAGATCGACAAAAATGACTTGATAGAGTATTTGATTGCTGAGAGAATAATAGAAGATAGAGGGAGCAGGCAATCCCAATTTGATAAGGGCCACTTCATGCTTGATAAACTTGAAAATGCCTGCTTATTGGAGAGCTTTATAACTGAAGATTCTGGATATGTCAGGATGCATGACTTGATTAGGGATATGGCCCTCCAAATTATGAATTCAAGAGCAATGGTTAAAGCTGGTGTTCAATTAAAAGAATTCCCAGATGAGGAGAAATGGACCGAGGGTCTTATGCAAGTTTCATTAATGAGAAATGACATCGAGGAAGTTCCACCAAATCTTTCGCCACGGTGTACCAATCTGGCAACCTTGTTGTTATGTGGAAATCACAAACTGGAATTGATCACAGATTCTTTTGTCAAACGACTCTGCCTGCTCCAGTTTCTTGACCTCTCTTTTACTGCTATAAAGGAATTGCCAGGTTCTATCTCTGGTCTTGTGCATCTACATGGATTATGGCTGAGGGGCTGTTACAAGCTGAGACATGTACCATCATTAGCAAAGCTCAGGAAACTGAAGATGCTGAATTTCAGTAATGCTCCACTTGAAGAGGTACCTCATGGTATAGATTTGCTTTTCAAATTGAGGTATCTTAATCTCGACGGGACTACACTCAAGGAATTTTCAGCCACTATGTTATTTAATCTCTCTAATTTACAATTCCTCCACCTGCACCAGTCTTTAGGGGGGCTCAGAGCAGTTGAAGTAGAGGTAGTAGCAGGCTTGAGAAAGTTGGAATCTTTGAAATGCCATTTCTATGATCTTGTTGATTTCAACAAGTATCTTAAATCTCAAGAAGAGAGGCAACCGTTATGCACTTACGATATCAAAATAGGACAGCTAGGTGACAATGTCTATACAGATTTTATGCTTACTCCAATCTCAAAGAAAGACAAAGACAAAGAAGTTCGGTTATATAACTGCAATATTGGCGAAAGAGGAGATTTTCTAGCACTTCCTGAAGGCATACAAAAACTGGTGATTGCTAAATGCCATGATGCTAGAAACTTATGCAACGTACAAGCAACTGGACTGAAGTCTTTTGTAATTTCTGAGTGCCATGGTGTGGAGTTCCTGTTCACGTTGTCCAGCTTTTCCACTGATATAGTTAAAAGCGTCGAAACTCTTCATCTTTACTGGTTGAAGAACTTACTTGCCCTCTTCGGCAGAGAAGGAACTGCTTTACAACCATTCCCATCTATGGGTACCTTTTCTTGTCTCAGAGTATTTGATGTGTTTAATTGTCCAAGTATAAAAAAGCTGTTTCCTTCTGGCTTGCTACCGAACCTCAAACACCTCGAAGTCATTGAAGTAGAATTTTGTGACAAAATGGAGGAGATAATAGCGGCCGAAGAAGAAGACGAAGGCGGGACTATGGGTGAAGAAAGAAACAGCAGCAGCCGTTCCATTGACGCCAGTGTGGAATTCAGGCTGCCAAATTTGCGGCTACTAAAATTGAGAAATTTATCGGAGCTAAAAAGCATTTGCAGTGGGGTAATGATTTGTGATTCTCTCCAAGAACTTGATGTTGTTTACTGTTTGAAGCTGAAGAGGTTACCATTCTCTCGTGCCCTGCTAAAATCAATTCGAAAAATGCCGTCGTATCCAGAAGAATGGTGGGAGTCAGTGGAATGGGACAAGCGCAGTGCAAAGAACATCCATCAACCCCCTCCCTGATGCTGTTGAGCGAGAGGTTACATAAATTGCCTGGGCATTGGTTAGCTCCTCTTTTTCTCCATCTCTTCAGAATCTTTAACGCTCCTGTTGTTGATTTACATGTTTCACACATTAGTTGATTTTCTTGTTTTTTACCTCATATTCCTTTGATTTTATACTAACATTCACGTCTCTTTGTGCCCCTTTTGGACTAGGATTCATGCGTCTTCAAATACGTAGATGAATTACGAAGAATGCTTTTGGAATGCAAGGTGCCAAGTTGATCGTTAACGCTATGTGCTCAGCCTCTATATGTATTTTTTATTCTTATTGAATGATAGTTCTTGAGCTATTGATATTGATACCGTGACACATTGAGATTTACAGTATGTGGAATTATGACTGTGGTGGTAGTTTAAAATATTTTTTATTTAGAAATATATTAAAATAAAATTATTTTTAATATTAGCATATTAAAACAATATAAAAAATATTTTTTATTTAAAAAAAAAATATAAAATATAATATTAGCATATTAAAACAATATAAAAAAATATTTTTTATTTTAAATAATAAAAAAAAAATATAATTTACATCCCATTCATTATGTTTGAAATAATATGTTTTTGAGACATCATCTTTTAGATAAATGTGGCCCCTTCGTTAGCCTCCGTTTGATTTTAACATTAGGTCGAAAGACCGAGCTTTAACTAGTGACCAAAACTGTCAATTAGAATTTTCATTTTTTTTTCCGGTATTTTATGTTAAAATTATTCATATATGTTAAAACATATTAAAACACCAATCTACTTCCAAAATAATTTCAAAATTTTTTAGGTTAGTAAATTAGGAACTATATTAAACTATACGGAAACTTAATGTTAGTCTTTGGGGTCTCCAGCAAAATTGGAAGCATGGGAACATATTTTCTATTTTTAACAATTTTGTGAATATTGGACATTTAAAAAATTAATAAAAATACTTTCTAATATAAAAATCCTTGAAATTATTTTTTGAAGTAGAACAATGATAATGTTGGATTCACTGACATTATAATGACATCAAATAACAAATATACTAAAATGCATGGAAAAATCATCTCACTTCATTATTCGCTGCAATATTGGACTGATATCTATGCTTTTGGCTAAAAAATTTGCTTGCTTTTGATTAAGGGAGATTTTGGTATTTTCATATGAGCCATTTGTTATTATTGATTTATATGAGAATATTTTTATCTACATAATATTTTATAAACAATAAAATAAAAAAATAACTCAAAGAATAAATAAATCAATTGTTTTGGATGAGTATGTAGGTATTTTCAGGTTTTTATGTATAGTTGATTTATAAATGTACATGTCAAGGATATTAGAGTATTTTAACTTTAGTTATTTTTGTTAATTGTTGGTTTGTACGAGAATAGTGTTATAATTTATCAATAAAATAATATTTTTTTATTAAAAAAAATTATGCTAACAAGTGGGAGATGCTGTATCTTTTAGGTGACATATAAAATATCTCTAAGTGATAAAAAAATAAATAGGTTTCACTATATAGTCCAATTCCTCACTGTTTCTTTTTCCATCTTAAGTTGCATGGTTAGTTCAAATACTTTTAGTTTATAACTAGTGACTTTTTTCTTTATTTCTCTTTCCTATCCTGATAAATATATTATGATCCTTAGTATTGTTGGAATTTCAAATTTAGTTTTTATAATCTTGATTTGTTTATTTTTATTATTTTTTTGTTAAAATTTTATATGTTTTCAATTCAACCCTTAGTTTCTAATTTGTATATATAATGATTTTTATTGATAAAGTTTTTATGATTTTTGATTTTATCTTTCAAATTAAGTTTATGATCTTGATTTTCTCAATGATAATAATAATAATTTCAGTTTGGTATATTTTCTTTTGATTTCTTATTATTTTTCTTTGTCTTCTTGTCAAAGTTTTTATAATTTATAATTTTATCATTTAAATCAAATTCAAGGTTTTTATTTTTTAATAATAATAATAATAATAATGATAATTAAACATTTGTTATCCTATATTAACTTAACCATAATTAGTGTTGTTATATATTTTTCATGAGAAATTTTTTATATTATTTTTTAACCTAATTTCAATATTTAAACATTTTTTTAATAACAAAAATAATCGAACCTCGGAGCAAAGCGTGGGAACCAAGGCCAGTGGAGACTAAAGGATAAGCAATGTTTGTCTGAAAAAAATGATAGTTTGAGGGCATAATTGGCTAAATTGGTAGAACAATCCTTAATGTGTTGCCACTTCAATAGTTCACAGGCAACAACTTCCATTATTTATTATTTTCACTTTGTTTTTGTTTTTGTTGTGATGCCTCTTCTGTACATATTAGATTGATTGTCTGCTTTTCGCTTCCGGTAAATTTAGGCTGCGTGGAGATAAAAAAGAAATAAATAGATGTGAAAAATAGTTGGAGATGCAATAAGCTTCATTAGAAGCGAGACAACATCCATGGAAAAGAAGAGATTGTCGGGCAGTGACAATGAAGATTGCAGCAGGTTTCATAATATTGTCTGCAAATTATATCAAAATTGCAGAGGTAGCAGTTATTTTCGTGTTGTAGAAATCCAAATCCAACTCATGAATGGAGAAATTGCTAGTTTTTCTCAGATGAAGAGGCAATGAATTAAATTATGAAAAACAAGCATAATGACTTGCTGTGATAAAATAGAAAAAGTTTCCTATAATCTGATCCTTTAGGTAACGTCCTTCTCTTCTGGGGTATTGAATAGCCTCCATAAAAATGCAGCTGGTTTCTTTGGGCTCCATTGCAACTGCAATTCAAGCTTTGAAAATTCTGTGAGCAATTGAGAATTAGATCAATATCTCGAGGTTTAATGCTGTGGCTGTCAAGAACGGGAGAAATGGTGATACTTTAAGGGCGTGGATGAGGCCAGCAAATCAAAAACTCAGCATGCAGCGGAGAATAGTTTTGCTGTAAATGGGGATCAACAGAAGCCAGAGAAGGGTGAAGGAGACGGGGAAACCAAAAAATTTCGTTTTCTCAACTTATTTTGTCATCTTGGGTGGAAGCGTTAAATACGACGCAGGAAAATTTATTGAATGTCCATTAAATCTGAGGTAAAATCAATAATATCAAAAGGGCTCAATTTGTAATAAAAAAAGACATTGGGGCTAGATTGAATTTTTACTCCTGTAATAAATCACCTTAAAACCCAAAGTATTTATTTTTCTTCAATCACCGTTTTTCAATACGGCCAGCACACAACGCAGTGAAGATTTAAAAAAAAATAGTTATTTTTTAAAATATTTTTTATTTAAAAATATATTAAAATTATTTTTAATATTAATACATAGAATAATTTAAAAATACTATAATATATTAATGTGAAGTAAAAACACATAAAAAAATTTCAATTTACTACTATTATCCCTGCTTTTGATTTTTTCTTATCAAACAAAAATAAAATTTTGCACATCGTAACCTAATTTCCTTGCTCTTACAATTTTCTTTTTATAATATGGAGTACTTTTAATTTTTTATAAAATAAAATAAAATAACGTAAATTATGGATAAAATCTCCTTACCCTTTCAATTTTCTAGTACATTTTTTCTTAAATGAATTTTCTAGGAAAATCAATATATATTTTAAAATGAATCATTTTTTTTCAAGAGTTAATTAAAATACATCAATATTATGATGAGGGGAAGTTGAACTTCATAAAATATACAATATAAAGGGGGACTTAAAAATATTATTGATAAGAGATATTTGAAAAAAGATAAATTTTGGTTTTTTTTCTTTTTTTATTTATTGTTAGGTGCTTTTTAGGTTTTCTATAGATCACCTTCTTATAAAGTGATTTTTTTATAATGAAATTAAATGAAGTTTATGGGCACAATTTCCTTATCATTTTTCTTTTTTTAAAAAAATTTTATAATATTTTTTATTTTATTTTTAAGTGTGTGTTTAGTAATATATTGTAAGGTTTTTTTAATTAAAAAAATATTTTTTAGATTTTTATTTTTTCTAACAACATATCAATATAAAAAAATTTAAAAATTTTAATTTAATATTTTTAAATAAAAAATAATTTAAAATTATTTTAAAAAGCATGGTTAACCGAAAGAAACAAACATTAGCTTGGCTCTATTTTTTTCTATATTATAATTTAGAAATATCTTTTTTATATTTTAAATTTAGTCTATCTCCAAGGCGGCAGCTTGTAGGAAGGTGAATAATCATAATAATAATAATAATAGTGGAATAGCCTGAAATTAGAATTGCGTTTAGCTGGGGTTGTCTGCTAGGGCTACATCCTTTTCACATCAGCCTGCATCTGTCTTTCCCAATTCGTACTTTCCCTTCAGTTGCAGTGCTTGCTTCCTTGTTTTTTTCATATTTATAATCAGATCGTTCTGGAAATCATCCTCTTAAGTTTGGACACAATCTGTATCAGTACAGGTAAACAATAACCTAATTTGTTTCATATTTTTTATTTATTTATTGTCTTTCAACTATGATTAGTACTGCCCGCTTTGTAGATTTTGTTTGGAGTTGAAGATCCGATCAGATTATAAATATTTCAGAGACCTATTTGATTCCATGTTCTAACCCGCCTTATTCCTCTCACACAGAATTGAAGATAAGAGAGGAAGTTTGGTGCTATGTAACCTGTCTATGCTCCTCTGTTTCTGTTCTAATTAACGTCTTCCAAGTTACATCACCTTATCGGCCGGCACGGTACGAAGTCTTTTTCCTTTGCCTAGTCCTATTTTGAAATTATCTTGTATTTAATCATGCTTTTTTTTTTTCTATTTTTATAAACTGAAGAATTTATGCAAGTTTTTTATTTGGTGCAATTAATTAAACTTTCATTTTATTGAATGTTTTGACAATTTTTTATGTTATAGGGACACTAAAGTACGAGGAGAAAATGGTTTTATCAGATGATCAATTCCAGGCCTATGTTGAGGAGAATGATGTTGGTAAGAAGAAGTGTAAGTTCTGCGGGCATCTATTTGCGTTTCGTACTTCGATTTCAAGGATCAAATGGCACTGGTCAGGTACTAAAGGGCACGGTGCTGCGATTTGTAGAGAAGTGCCTAAGGATGTTCAAGAAGCAGCCTTTCTAGCTATGGAGGGTGTCAACAAAAAATGTAGAATTAGAGCTGACTGGTTAATTAATGTAGATAACAAGACAGATAGATTAGTGAAGCCTGTTGCGGAAGCTAGCTCTTCTGGTGGCCATACACCCAACAAAAGTGATGCTAGAGAAAATGCGGTACCCACTAGCTCTTCAGAGGTAGCGGGTAAAGCATTTGAAGAGAATAAGGATGCCATCTTGTCTTGGTTAATGAATGATGAAGTCTTACGCATTGGCATTTATGGGATGGGAGGTGTGGGTAAAACTTCGCTGGTGAAACATGTTTACCATCAACTTAGAAAAACATCAGGCACTTTTCATCATGTTTACTGGATCACTATACCTCAAGATTTTAGCATTTGTAAATTGCAGAATCTTATTGCTACATGTCTAGGTATACATCTTTCAAATGAAGACGACGAGATCCTAAGAGCCCAGGAACTTTCAGAAGCATTTGTAATGAAATGGCAGCATTTACTCATTTTGGACAATCTGTGGGACACTTTTGATCCAGAGAAGGTGGGAATTCCTGTCCAAGAGAAGGGATGCAAGTTGATTCTTACAACTAGATCATTAAAAGTTTGTCGAGGGATGGGCTGCCTGCAAAAAATCAAAGTGGAGCCTCTGCCTTGGGAAGAAGCTTGGACTTTGTTTAGAGAGAGATTTACACATGATGTAGTAATTTCTCCAGAAGTTGAGCAAATTGCAAAATCTGTTACAAGGAAATGTGCTGGTTTACCTTTGGGAATTATTACAATGGCAGAAAGCATGAGGGGTGTGAGTGACCTGCATGAGTGGAGGAATACATTGGAGAAATTGAAAAAATCTAAAGTTAGGGACATGAAAGATAAGGTATTTCCGTCATTGAGGTTTAGCTATGACCAGTTAGGTGATTTAGCACAACAGCAATGTTTCTTATACTGTGCGTTATTTCCAGAAGATTATGGGATTAGCAGGGAGGACTTGATAGGTTATTTGATTGATGAGGGAATAATTGAAGGGATTGATAGCAGGCAAGCAGAATTTGATGAGGGCCATACGATGCTCAATGAACTTGAAAATGTCTGTTTGTTGGAAAGTTCTAATGATTATAATGGTTATAGAGCTGTCAGGATGCATGGCTTGATTAGGGACATGGCCTGCCAAATCCTGCAAATGAGCTCTCCAATCATGGTTGGCGAAGAATTACGAGATGTGGATAAGTGGAAAGAGGTTCTTACAAGAGTGTCCTGGATAAATGGTAAATTCAAAGAAATTCCTTCTAGCCATTCACCAAGGTGTCCCATTCTTTCAACCTTGTTGTTACCCTATAATTACACTTTGAGATTTATTGCGTATTCTTTTTTCAAGCATTTGAACAAGCTCAAGGTTCTTGATCTGTCCAAGACAAATATTGAATTATTGCCAGATTCTGTCTCTGATTTGGAGAATCTTAGTGCATTATTGCTCAATGGTTGTGAGCGGCTAAGGCATGTGCCATCATTAAAAAAGCTTAGGCTACTGAAGAGGTTGGATCTCAGTGATACCGTTCTTGTAGATGTGCCTCAAGACATGGAATGGCTATCCAACCTCAGGTATCTTAAACTCAATGGATGTAGTCAAAAGGAGTTTCCTCCTGGAATATTACCTCAACTTTATCGCCTGCAGTTCTTTGCACTAGATGATTGGGTGCAGGGACAATATGCTCCAGTAACAGTTGAAGGAAAGGAAGTAGCATGCTTGAGGAAGTTGGAAACTTTGGAATGCCATTTTGAATGTTTCTCTGACTTCATAGGGTATCTCAAATCTTGGGATGGGACCCTATCACTAAGTACATACAAATTTTTAGTAGGACAATGGAATGATAACAAAGACTATTTACGTGTATTGGAATTTTCTGGAAGAAGTAGAAAAGTATGTATATGTAACTTCAATATCAACTGGAATCGAAGTTCTCCATTTTTCCCATGTGACATTCAAGAACTGTTGATTTTGAGATGCACTGATGCAGGAAGTTTATGCGACGTCTTATCAATACAGTATGCAATTGAACTAGAGTGCATTGAAATTCAGCTGTGTGATAGAATGGAGAGCTTGCTTTCATCTTCTTGGTTCTGCTCTGCACCATTACCGCTGCCATCTGATGGTATATTTTCTCATCTCAAAGACTTCCATTGTTATGGGTGTTCAAGCATGAAAAAGCTGTTCCCTCTTGCCTTGCTGCGAAACCTAGCAAACCTGGAAATGATTTCGGTCGAGGAATGTCACAAAATGGAGGAGATAATAGCAACAAGGGTAGACTGGGTTGTGGGTGAAGAAAGCAGCAGTAGCTGTAGTTCCAGAGAATTCGATCTCCCAAACTTAAGACGTCTCAACTTTGTTTATTTGCCAAAACTGAAAAGTATATGTTGTGCCAAATTGATTTGCGGTTCTCTCCAAAAGATCAGAGTGAGAGATTGTCCGAAGCTAAAGAGGATACCAATCTGCCTTCCCGTGCTTGACAATGGCCAGCTATGTCCCCCCCCATCTCTTGAAGAAATCGATGTAGATCCAAAAGAATGGTGGGAGTCGGTGGAGTGGGACCATCCTAACACTAAGGATGTACTTCTTCCTTTTGTAGTTTTAGGTGATAGTTCCAGAGTCTCAGACTGCTTGAAGAAGATGAAGACCAAGGAAGAAACATAAGAAAAACGTTTTTGAAGAGAAGTTTTACTGGCAAGCCTTTTTTAGTCTTTACTTGTCCTCTTCATATATTTTTCATACCACCCTTTATGGCTTTTAACCCCTCTCTTTCTCTCAACGTAAATCACTCACCCACTTTTTAGGTATAAAAGTCCTTCGATTCACATATTTCAACTGGTACCTAGTTGGATTCTCAACTAATTTTCTAAATCCTATCTGTTCCCCGTTTGTACATGCAGGATCCAATACCCTTTGAATGCTGATGCTGGATCAATTTTCACGGAGCACCTACTATTTCAGAAACCGGTATATTGTAGCGTGCATTTTCCTGTATTTCATGCCGTTTCTACTCTCTTTTGTCCCCAAGAAATACTGTGATGGTTGTAATTTCAGTTGCTTTTCCTGTATTTCATGCCGTTTCTACTCCCTTTTTTCCCCCAAGAAATACTGTGATGAACCGTCACCGGAAATTATATAACTACTTTGACTTGTGAAGTTGTAATTTCAGTTACTGCACTCATAGAGGCTTTCCTAGATTTCATTTCTTTTTGTTTTTTTTCTTTAATATATTTCATCTAATTTCATGCTTCCATTTCTGCGATTAGCATCCCACAGTCTTCTTTCTCTACAATTGTGCATTAATTTAGACAACAAATTGTAAAAACGTTAACAGCAGGAAGAACATTCCCAGCTGCATATATTTTATGAAACAGAAATAAGAAAATTACACCTCATCGGTGTAGATTGTTAAAGGAATGCTAATCCAAGAAAATCAAGCCAGTTCATGAAACCAAGAAAATCAAGGAGAGGAATCTTTGCCGCCACTGTCAATAAATGTAAATGTAAATTGATTTATTTTCTTGCTTGTGAATAAATCAAGCTCAATTATAGGAAGTAGAATAGGATTGGACTCATAGATGGTTCAATCAAAGAACCAGATGAGACCAATCCAGAAGAGTGTCAAGTTGCCCTTTTCTTATTTATTTCATTTTCAGATTTTCAGGGGACTATTTTGTAATTATCTTTGGATCTCTCACATTTTTTTATCCCGATCTACTTGCTAGGTGTTTTCCAATATTAAATAAATTATTTTTCTTAAAAAATATAAAAATAACAAAAACATTTTCTTCCAAAAATACAATTATATATTTTAAATTGAGTTTCTTTAAAACAACCATGTTTGCATTATAGTACAAAGAATACAAAAAAAAAATACAAAAAAAAATGCATTGCATAACTTAGCATTCCTTGAAAATACAAAAAAAACCAAATAAAATAAAATAAAATCTTTCGTGGATTTCATGGATTTAATAACATTTTTATTAAATCTACAAGGACATGACCTAAACATAAAAATAAATAAATTATTTTAATATAAAAAATTATAAACTTGGATCTAAGATATATTCTTCTTATTTAAAAAACATGCAAAAACATATTCGAATTTTAAAATAATTAGATTTAACTATAAAAGTTATAGTTTACTTTGCTAGTATGGACTAGTTTTCAATTAATAAACAAATTTAACTATAAAAGTTATAGTTTACTTTGCTGGACTAGTTTTCAATTAATAAACAAACTAATGGTTAGAAAAATATATAATATAGTTTATCTTTGATGGAATATATTAGGACTAATATTTTTTTCCTAATATATAATTAATTTTTTAACCAGAATTTAAAGATTAATTAAGATTTATAGTGATCAAAGTATTAAATGAATATTTTAAATATTTTTAATTGATAAAAAATAAAAATTCTTTACTGTTTTTATCTATACATATAAATATTAATTTATAAAGATGATTATTGCATCATTATACACGTGTAAAAATAGAAAAGGAAATAAGAGAAAAGTAATTATAGAATAAAAAGCTTAGATGGAGATATGTTTATTATTTTAAATTTTGGTGGTCCTGCATTTAATTTTATATATCTCTTTGTTTAAAGTAAACCTAGAGTAATAATCTAAGCACTATAGAATTTCTCAAGAGAAAATCATTTTTTTCCCTTTCATATCCTGGCAGCCAACTTTATTTGACATCGTTTCTATTTGTGTTTAGATGAGTTTTAAAAGTATATTTAGCATAATAAAAATATCAAATTAATTTTATTTTAGTGTTTTTAATGGTTTTGATTCTTTTATCAAAAAAAAAAACTAAATAAAATTATTTTTATATATTTTTTAAAAATAACATTATACATCACAATATCAATCAAACCATAAGAGGAAGAAAAGACGAAAATAGGTAGTTGGCAGCGTAGGAATTACAGGGTTTCTTTTCTATGCTTTACCCATGAATTCTATTCCAACAGAATACGAGAATAGTTTTGTTTTGTTGTTGACGATTGTCGGGGTTGTCTGTGTACTATGGTTCGTTTGGTTGAGGGATACTAGGAAGGAAGAGACGTTTAAAATTCTGGTATTTGATTTTCTTTGTCCGGATGCAAGGTATTATTAACATAGTGAGTAGTAAGCAATAGCTAATAAGCATGATCCCGAGTACTTAGTGTTCTAGTTTGATAATTATAGATTCCATCAACAGGCGGGGATAGCTCAGTTGGGAGAGCGTCAGACTGAAGATCTGAAGGTCGCGTGTTCGATCCACGCTCACCGCATTTTTTAATTCTCTCTTTTCTCCAGTTGATGATTTATCTTGGATTGTTTCATAATCGAGGAGTTCGATTTATCTTCCTAAATGGAATCGATAATTTTGGGAGTTGTTTTACAATCAGAGAGTTTGGGCAGACAGGCATCTTGTTTACATACAACAGGTGCTTTCGATTCAATTTCTATGGTCTATCAAGGTGAACAATTTTGTTAAAAATGAAGCAGCCACACGGATCTGCAGACAGAAATCACATGAGAATCTCAAATCTATGACAACGAGGAAGTCAAGCTACATTACATCAATGTCTCTTGGAGTCCTCTCCAATATTTGGCAGTTGAAGAGCAAAATTGAATTGCTTCTGCTAAATTACACCAGTATGCGCATGTAAGCAATTCTGAGGATGATGATCGATAGACCATTCAACTATACAGTTAAACCGAAACTACTTCGTGTGATCTCTTGTTGGGAAAAGAATCAAAATGGGATCAGATGTGCTTCAAAACTTCTCCTAGAACAAGGCCCCATTGAGTCCAGTGGGTTCCCCCCTGCATCAGTGGAAAAACTGGATTCAGAAATCTACTAACAATAAAATATGGGTGTTAAGATTGTAGTGCACTTCTCGTTTCCTTAATGCATCAATACTCGAGGAATGGAGATGCGAGAACCGAGTATGTACCTGGCAATATACGGCAAAAGGCTCCCTTAGGGGTCCATCACATGATAATTCACTTGTACTCCCATCAATGAAGGTTCCATCAGCGAAGATCACCTGATACATTATATTTGAGATGCTCATGTCAGAAAAACTACTAAAGTTCTAGTTACAAGAGAGAGAAAATAATCACAAAATTATAAAGAAATTATCAATATACAAAAAGTTTTCCTTGTCTTGAGCTAATCTATATGACAATTTATTTGTGCAACACCAGTGTAGTCACTGCCACGAGAATTTCACCCGACATTAAAAACACAAAGATGTGTATCCTTTTTATTAATCTAGTAAAGTGACCATGATAGCGAAAATGAGAACTTGAATTGATGGAACCCATGCAGTTGGCCATAGGACCAGAGCATACTGCCCTAGAGGCAGCACTCACATTGAGCTTCAAAAAACTTTTTAACTGCATTTTAGTATAAAATTCAACGTGAATACAGTCAGGCGGCACCTCTGATGCATATCCAGGAGTTGAGCCTGCAACTGGTTTAGTATATGAAGCTACAGGGGAGCTTCTTTGAACAGCCTCACAGAAGGCGAGGAGAAGCTCACGGCTACCAAGCTGCACTGCCTGAAAATCATCATGAAATCAGCGAGAATTTCAGCTGCCAAAGTATATCTCAGAAGAGCTTGGGACAAAACAATATAACAAACCTGGACTGTATCATGACGGGTGACACGAGGTAGGGGCTGCACCTTATATCCTTTAGATGCCATGACTTCAGCGATTAGAAAAGCCCCCTTTTTATTACAGAAGAAACAATTAACCCACCACCAAACACAACAGAGTATTATGGCAACTAAGGACATGCATAATTGAATACCTTGATTGCCTCGCCAACCATTTGAGGTGAAAGGAACAATCCCTGGAAATAAGCTCGCATTACATCACCAGGAGTTGAGCCGCAATCTATCCCAAGCCCTGGCGCAGAGAGACGAGCAGCTGCTGCTTCTACCCATTTTTTCTTCCCTGCAATATATCCACCACATGGTGCAATGGTTCCGCCAGGATTTTTAATCAAACTACCTGCAATCAGATCTGCACCCTGCCCCGCCATTAACCGAGAAAAAAATAAAAATACTACCCTTCTTCAGCAAAAGGATGAAAGCTACATCACATACCACAGCTGGAGGTTCAATGCTTTCAACGAATTCACCATAGCAATTATCCACCATGACCAAGCAGTTAGGATTCTGCATCTTCAAGCATGCATTTGAAGGGACATTGATGAAAATGAAAAATGTTAAACAGTAGATGACATGGAAGTGTAAAAAGGAGTGACAGAGCACGTTGATTTATGAACTGCATGAACTATGAACAAGCACCGATCTTGAAAGGAATAGAGGAGGGAGAGGCAACTAATTCCACGATTTTACAATTTTACCACTCAAACCAACATAAACCACAGCAAGCATACAGATCACATATGCATTTGAAATGAGCCAACTTCTATGTTCATACCTTGATCATCTTTATAGCCCTCCCTATCTCATTTACACTTAAACTTTGACGCCAAGAATAACCACATGACCTTTGAATGAGGGCACATTTTGTATGAGGTTTTAAAGCACGCATAAGACAATCCCAGTCAAGTCCACCATCTTCAGCAAGCTGCAATATCATAATGTAAGAAAAATTTAGCAAATGAAATTTGAAAAAGAAAAGAAAAGAAAAACTTGCTTAGTTCTGCTATTAGTAACATACAGGAACTTCTCGGTATTCCACGCCAAAATCTTTCAGGGAACCCAGTCCATTGGAGTCCCTCTTTCCAATAACTTCCTCTAAGGTGTCATAAGGAGCACCAGCAACTGCCAAGAGCTGGCAATCAAATTAATCTAATTCCTCCTTATGGAAGCCAATTAAAGCAGAGAACATTATAAAACTACTGACATGGCTTTCCAACAGAAATTGAAGAAAAGAAAACCTCAAAATAACAGCTCACCTCATCTCCTGGCCTCAAAAATGCAAACAACGCACAGGTAATAGCATGGGTTCCTGAGAAAAACTAATGGATGACCAAAGAAGCAGAGAATTAACAAAGCATGCTGGATTAAAAAAGAATTAA